ATAGTGAGTAATTGAACTGCAGTCAGAGAGCACGAGAGACGTTACAGCGTTTGTTTAGCGCGATTGTTGAAGTTGAGTGTATCGGTAAAGTTATATTTGGAAAGAATAAACCAGTTTTTATTAAGAAAGAACTTGTGTCGCTTAAGTTTCGTCGGAACAAAGTTACGGAAAATCAATTAACAAACGGAGAAGTAACAATACCAATATTTGGTTTGGGAATTAGCAAATGTATTAGTGATTCAGTGATGCAGTATATACGAGAGAAAATTTAACAAGTAAATGGCTATTAACTTTTATTTTGTGCATTAGGCTTATAGCTTGGAGAAGTAATAACATATTTACACTTGTATTAAGTGAACTGGACTTTGCAGCATTATTACCGAACAATAAAAAATAACACACCTGATGATAGAAATCGTTACAACAATATCAACACACCTTATTTTTAGAATATGCTGGCGATGGAATAAATAATTTCTAAAACGTTTGATGAATCATGTAAGTAGAACATTTTTCATCCTCTCAACAGTGATTGTCTTCATTAGTAGACTTTATTTTCCCTTCATAAATCCATCAAAAATGACCTTAAATTAAATCAAAATTAATTATAACACATTTTTACAGAGTTTAAAAAGTATTAGGATTATAAGTGGATACCTTATTTTTTGTTATGTTATATATATCTGGATAATAAGTTGTGGCAGTATGTGCCCATGCTTCTCAGCTATCCCCAGTGGGATAGCGGTAGATTTGTGGTCTTATAACGCTAAAATCTGGGACTCGATTCCCCACAGTGGACAGAAGAAATAGCCCACTGTGGCTTTGTTCTAAAACAAACAAAATGCCATTCATTTTTACCTCTACACAGACTAACCTGTAGATCTATAATTATCGTATTTATTCCTACTTCTTATTTTCTGTCATCATGGTTTTTTCATTGGTTTTTCACATCAGTTTTACTGTTATTTATATATTATGTACAAAAGTCACGTAAATACTACTAATATAAAAATAACGTGTGCGTCTACTGTGTTTTGAAACTTACCATTGCTAGGTTATGGCGGTTATGAATAACTACTGTATGTGGGAATTGTATCCGTTTTTCAGTTATGAACAGCGATTTTCTATAGTGAGAGAGTAGAGGAAACGCTTAGTAATTTGGATTTCCGGTCAGTTGATACCAAATCTATCTATCTCTCTCGATATATATATATATATATTAACATAAAATATTTGCATATGAGCTTTGTTTCTTTTTATGCTGCTCCAATATTTTTGTTTTTAGCTTTTTTAAGGGAAAATATGTTTTGTTTTTTAAATTAGTACGAGTTATTAGTGACTAAAATGAAAAATTATTAATATAAAATTGCTTTCATAATGATGAGATCATCGCCCAACTACCTGCAATCTCTTTGTTTGATTTTGTTTCACCGTTGGCGTCGCTCATGTAGTCAAGGGGTAACATGAGCGTTACACGGAGAAGGTATTAATTTATTTTATATTTGTGTAAGTATTTACGTGAAAAATGTTAAACAAGTGCATTGTTAGGTACTTAAAAATTAAAACTAAAATATAACATATAATTTAAGGACAAAAGGGACCTGTTACTGTTAGTCCATCTATTACTATTAGGTCGTCCCACCCTTTAGTTAAACTAAACTTAAAAAAATAATATTAAATTATAAAACAATCAAAGCCTGTCCTTATATATATATATATATAAACTATTCCCATAAACTCCTTAAATTAATTGCATTCACCACATCTGAGGGCTACCTATTCCACAGGCTAACCACCCTCTTAAAAAAGGAAAATGTCTTGGCTAAAGCTGACTCTTACTAATCTTCCCCATTATGTACAAAAAAGATGATGCTTCAACGCCATAATTTCCCTTAACAATCTTAAACATCTCAATCAGATCACCACTAACTCTTCTCGTATCAAGAGAAAACATTTCTGAGGTCTTCCCTGTCCTCTTATGACAAACTTTTCATCCCAGTAGCCCTCTTCTGAATCCTTTCCAACAATAAAATTCTCTTCCTATGGTAAGGACCCTAAGACTGAACACAGTACTCTAAATGTGGCCCAACCACTGAGGCTATAATCTCTTTAGACTTGTATTCAATATTTCTGTAGATACAACCTGAAAGTGAAATCCTATTTGCTCTGGCACTAGCAACAGCACATTGCAGACTGATCAAACAGAACATGAAGATCGTTTTCTTTCATAACACTATTACGGTTACTAGCAGAAGTACCTGCCCAGAGGGCAGGTATAAGTGCTAGTTCCTGCAGAAGGCTATTGGCCTGTGGCCTTTTCTGGAATTTTCTGACAGTTCTAGAACAATGTTATCATACTTGACATTCAATAATGTTCACCATCCATGAGAAAAAAGATATTGAAATTTTTGTTTAAAAACGAGCCATCATCAGAGAGTAGATTTTATTGAAGTATTTCTTTGTAGACACAGTTATCAATGAAAGTGCCTTGCTTATCTGTTGCAACACTCATGAGATTTTCACTAAAGAAAAAATATTTTTTTTAAGTTTATTGGTTAAATTTGAAACATATTATTTTTGTGGAAATTTCAATGGCTTTATTTATTACTCAACTATAAAAATACTGACAAGTTATAAAAATATTACCCAGTTGGTAATGATCGGTGCAGTAGTTTCCAAGATCCAAGTTTTGGATGTATACAATACAAGCTCCATTATAATAAGATAGTCTTCAAAATTATAATTGTAATTCAAATTATGATATCCTGTATGCTTTACATTGCAATTTATTATAATTACAAACCATGTACCATTTATTCACCCAGCTTGCCAAATTATCAAAATCCTTTTGTAAAGCAGCAGTAATTTCTTCACAGCCAGAAACACCCAAAAATTTAATGTCATCCACAAATTTCAGTAATTTATCTACCATTCCTACATCTGTGGCATTGATGTAAAACAAAAAAAAGTAAATATCTTAACAATGAACCCTTAAGTATCCCACATGTTGCACGAACTCATTTTAGATGTTTGTGGCTAGAAAAACTGGTAAAGTTTTAACAAAAAATTTTGCATCAATTAGTAATTACATGTCAGTTTTATCACTGATACACTGAGAAACATTTTCTAATTCCTAACTTAACTGAAGTTAAGGTTTTACTGAAAATAATCTGTGGATAAAAATTTACTTTAGTGTATTAATTAAGAACCTGTATTACTAATGTCGTATGTGTATCAGCAGGTGCATATAATTAAAGTGTAATAGTTTACTTAGTAAATAAATAGAAGATAAGATTGTAATTTTAAACATTAGGAAAAAAATGTTTCCCTTAACTTAATGGATTGACATTAGAAATTAGTTTCTATCAATTACAATACCAATAACAAAATGCTTGAATTAAGGTGTCAACAACTCATTGATATTAGTTAATTTTCATCCTAGCATTGATTTTAATAATAATCAAGAAAACTTTTGAAAGTAGACCTACACTTGTAGTTTATCTCAATCAGTAAACTGACTTTTATCATTGCTTTTGCATTTTGCTGTTAAGCCAGTTTTCTATCCACTTTGACTGTTAAAAATCAATTTCATAGAATTAAAGCCACATTTCATCTACAGATCCTATAATTTTGTAAATATTTGTTAACTTTGTTACCAAACATGCAAAGCTCAAAACAATTCTAATAGAACAGTGTGTTTTCTTATTCAATGCACAATGTTTTTTGATATGAAACATTGAAAACAATTTTCTGTGAAATATTTATTCACTAATAGGATAGGAATATAGAAAGACAGTATTTATAGCCAATAACTTTTCTTTGTTTTTTAATGTACATGATTGTACATGTGTATTTTATAAAATGTTTTTGCCTTTTTAGATCTGTGTGACGAACTTATTACAATGACAGAACACCTTGATTCCACATTTCTAGTTTTTGTTCTTTCAGTATTGTGTAATTTGCAAGGTGAGTACTTATACATTGCTTTTTTTTCTAAGTAGTCCTCATTAATATGTAACATTATTTTTCACTCAGAGAGTTGCATGAATTTCTTGATGGTGTAGTTGTTATTCAGTGTAATCTTTATGATGAAAAAGAATGCATTCTAGATGTAAGTTTTGTAGAGATTGCATTTCACACGTTTCTAATATAGTTCTTATATTCCTTTTTTGGCTATGTTATTATTAATGCTTAATTGAAAATAAGTTATGAAGTTTTCTTTATTTTGATTTTCTTTTGTGCAGTTTCAGTACAGGCTACTATAAATATAAATGCATAAAACTTCCTTTTTTTAGCCATATTCACACTTAAAGGTCCAGCAGATGTCAAAGTACTTTCGAGTTATGAAAAAGGGATAGAAATTGAGTGGAGTCCTGTTTCATTATATAATGTCATTGTTGAGAAATATGAGGTGGGTTTTAAAGTTTTTAGTTTACTTATAACACTAATATTGAAAGATGTGCAGTAAATTTTACATATACATAACTATAAATCTTTATTTCATTTAAGATATACTTGATAAATTATGTTAACTCTATTAATTATAATAGGTTTGAGCATAGTTTCTTCAAAATATGTTAATTGTTATTTTACCTTTTGTACTTCACATTAGAGATGTAGATCTGTTATGTACTTATTCAAACATGTATTGAGTAGTAGTACATTTTTTGTTTGATTCTTATAGTTGATTATAATATTACTAACAATTAAGCAAGTTTATTATGTCAGTAAAATTAGTATCAAATTATGGTTTTAATTTCTTAATTTCAAAAGAAAATATCAAAAAAAATATTCTATTTCATTGACTTGCAAGCACTCTCACTTCTCCCCTTTTGGTTTTTCTATAACGTTAATAGTATAACATCTACATTTTATCAGTTATGTAAGCACAATTTATAAGTAATTCCAAGATCCATTGTACAGTTTCAACTTCCTTCTCCATTTAGTAAAACATCATTAAAATTTTCCAACCCATGACAGAAGCCCTGCCTCTTCATCCTTAACTTTCGAGGCAGTTTTCAAAACCATGTGTTTGTATTAGGCATACATGTTTATAACCAACAGAAAGAGCTTATTTTTTATTTCAAGCTTGCAATGTTTATTTTGAATTTGACATTAGTGTAGTAAAATTGATTTTGTGTTGTAAGGATATTTACTGTGTATAACACTTATTCTCAAATGTCAGTGACTTGTACTAGTCCTGTGTGAGTGACGTTCAAACACAGGCTTTACTTCTGCTGTGGGTTTTGGAGGCTTGTTAACTGTCGAGGATGTTGCTTACTAGGCCTACTACTACCGTCCCATTGGCCAAAATTCTTTCTTCTCAATTGGGAATGACCTATTGGACTACCACTTTAACCTGATTTGCTTTTAGTAGTGCCTTACTATTTGAGAAATAACCTTAGCCTTCCAATCTCTTTCTAGATTTCATTCTCAGGTATTTTCCTTACTTTTAGCCTGTGTTCTTTATTATTTCTCATTTTTTGCTGCATGATCCACTATTCTTGGAGTTTACTTTGTTTCTTTCCTTCTTGCTTGTTCTTAAGATTTATAATATTTCCTTTTTCTAATAGCTCCTCCCTCACATCAGAATGCCTAGTCCTCCTCATGTTCATGGCTCTTTTTCTCCTAACATATAAACTTTCTTCCTTTCTTTGTTTTGATTCCCTGTCCTTGGTATCTATTTGGCTAGCTTGGGGATTGTCCCTTAACTTCTATTTCACTTTATGCTTCCCCATTTTTAAGTTTTCATCTTTTTTTCTCACTACCCAATTGTATTCTCTCTCTCCTAACTCCATTTTTTCTCTGAGGCATTTCATCGTGCTTCACGTTGGTTTTGTATAGATGTTCTATCCCTTCTAACTTTGTTTCCCTGCTGTTGGGACTTATCAGGTCAGGTTTTGTTCCGCTTTACTGTTCCCTTTCCTCCTCCTTGTGTACATAGCATTTGTCAGGCTCCATTTCTTTGTCCAGTTACCTTCCATGGTGTTAATTTTTCCCTGGTGAACTAGACTGACATTATACAGGTTTTGTTCTTGCTGTCTTCTCAGGTTTTTCTTCTTTCTCGACCTTGCCCTTTACTCCTGTTATTCATTTGATCAATCTACCTCTAACCTTCCTATTTCAGGTTCCAGGACTTCCCTTTTTTTCTTGTCCTCCCTCTACCAGAAGTCTATCTTTATTGCCCTTCTTTTCAGTGACTATCAGACACGTATAACCGTGTGGGTACCCATCTTTTCCCCTGCTGTTGGTCTCATTTTATACTGACAGTTGTTTTTCATTTCTCCATCTTGGTCTCTCTCCTTGCTTTGCTTCTCTTCCCATTTCCTTTTCTCCTATGTTCAACCCCCATCTATGGTCCTTTACACCTGTTCTGCAGTTGGCCATGGTTGATGTGTCGGACACTTTCCTTTACCCCACTCTTGATCCATATTCCATATGTATTCTATGTTCCATCCATCAATTTCATATCATCCCACTACTTGCTCTTTCCTTCAACTTGGACTTGGTCAACAAGGCCTTCACTTGCCATATTCACATCCTAGGACTGGCATTCCTTTTCCTGGATGATTGACTCCTGTTGGCCCATTCTTGGATGGTTTTCTCTTCTCACACTTAGTTTCTTGTATAGGAAGCTACTAATTTGTGGGGGGGGGGGGACTTATTCTAAAATCTAAATCATTCTTCGTGCCCACTCAATATTTGTTATTTCTGGGAATTTTCTTCATCTTTTGTTTCAGCTGAGTTCAGCCTTCTATTCACCTGTGAACTATGGCATATTTGGTCACCAAGGTTTGTGCTTCTCATTCTCTTGTGAGAGAGGTTCTTTCACTTTTTGAGGCTCTGGCTTCCCTGGAATCCTTCATTCCTTTAGGGCATGCACCTGTAAGCCTTCTACAGTGGACTTTGCAAATCCAAGGGTTTTTCTTTCTTGGATTCTATTGTCCTCATTTACAAATCTCTTATAGAATTCCTTGAGGAATTGTTATGGTGACTGGACTGTGCCCATACTACTTCTGGCATTCCCTTACCACCTCTCTATCCAGATCTCTCTCTTCACTGATGTTTTGTTCCTCATCATGGACCTCTCCTTTTTGGGGTCCCCACCATGGTTTATACCAGGGACCTCTCTCCTTCTCCCCTTACTAGATGTGTCTATTGTCTTCTCTGGTTGGTATGTTTATCTCTGTTTGTAAATGCTTGCATGCTGTTTCACATTTCTTTGCATTTGATTTTGTACCTTTCTCAATATTTTGCATCTCATTTTTGCTGGCTCTGGGATGAGATACTCCAGGCAGGCTTGCAGGTATGTTGACAACTCTCCACGTATTCCTCTTCTTATCTACACCATCTAGCTTTTTTTTCTCCTGCTGGTTTCAGCTTCCACCACTCACCATTCTTCAATTACCTTGATATCTTTAGGAAGAAAACATACCATTTCTTTTTTAGAGCCCCCTTTTTTAATTTCATAAGATCCTGCCATGAGGCTGGTGTTACCTCCTAGGATATGCTTATTTCTCAAAATTTGCATTGAGCTAGGATAATGGAAAGTGTTCAGCCCATCTGCTCTGGCTTCACCAGCACCTACTGGGGTGTTTCAAAGATCACTTGAGGTAGCCTTGTGGTATACATATTTACTCAATTGTCTGATCCAGACTATAGCAATTCCATGGACTATCATGGAAAAAGCCAGCATCAGAGAAGTAATCTTTCCACTTTTTGGCTTTCATTTGCTGGCTTTTAAAAATAGGATTTTGCAGTCACCCATTGTATGTTTTCAGTAAAGAATCTGATGGGGATTCAAGCACTTCTTTGGGTCCTCCCAATACAAATCCCCCCCTACCTTCATCAAGTGGAGCATGGAAGACCCTTGCTACTTACCAGTTCCTATCCACATGAGTGGTGAGTCATGGAGAAACCTCATCAGTTGGGCTTAGCACAATACAGTGAGAAGAAGAGCAGTGGTGACACTGTCAGTGTAGTGTAGTGTAGGTACCCCTCTAAACAATAGCTCATACCACTTGTGCCCTCCTCTTTCTGGTATACTCTGTTCAGTAGAGTTCAGGTGAATACATAGTGTACAGAAAACATGATCCAAAACTACAGTGTCCTCCTCCTACAGCCTGAATCTGTTCTGTAGAGTTGAGGTGAGCACACACACACACACTATACAAATCATAATACATAATTTGATGTGCCCTCCATCTGCAGTCAGTGTTTGTACTGTAGAGTTGAGGTGAGTACATAGTGTACAGAAAACATGATCCAAAACTACAGTGTCCTCCTCCTACAGCCTAAATCTATTCTGTAGAGTTGAGGTGAGCACACACACACACACATAAACACTATACAAAACCATAATACATAACTTGATATGCCCTCCATCTGCAGCCAGTGTCTGTACTGTAGAATTGAGGTGAGCATGCAGTATATGATACTATACTGGATAAATAAATTGCCTTACTCCTGTAGCTGGAGTTTTTTTCAGTAGAGTGTAGGTGAGCACATACTACACATAACCATAATATATCACTGATATGCTTAGTTGGTAATGCTCTCATTCCACTCATCCCTGCAACACATGGAACTCATTTGCCCCTTCTCCTGTTGCATTCTGGGTGAAGATTATACCCTGGTCAAGACGAGATGTGATCTCCCATGAATGTGACCTTATGGAGCCTGTTATCGGATGTCACAATCCATGGGCTTCTTTTTGGGTGCTTATATAGGTAATAATGGCTGGAGATGGCTTG